ATAATAATAATAATAATAACAATAATACCGTACAATACAGTGCAAGACGATAAGCAGCATTGAAAAGTGCATTGATCACGTTCACCGCACTTCACTTCAATTCACTTCACTTTAATACACTACATTTTTTTGCTTTGAATTACACTGACCAGCACTTCACAGCACTTCACCGCACTACACAGCACATACTCATTTAATATCTTTGAAAAGCTTTGAAAACTGCTGCAGGTAAACCGTTCCAATCTCTAATTGTTCTGTTACAAAAGGAAAACTTCCCAAGATCTGAATTTTGTTTCCTTGCTCGAATTTTGTGTGTGTGATCGCTTCGGCCGAAATAATTTGGTTTTTCTAGTCTAATCTGAACTTCCTTCCAAGCTGGTTGACCTACGTACGATTTATAAAGAGCGCAAAGCCTCGCCTTTGTTTTTCTCGTTTCTAGAGGTTCCCATGACTTTTTTTGTTGCGTTACTTCTATAGGTAAACTTATTCGCTTTTCTCTGTATTCTATCTAGATTTTTCCGGTGCGCCTTTCTGTATGGATCCCAACACGCAACTCCGTATTCCATGAGAGGGCGAACCAGCGTAAGATATGCCAATTCTTTGGCAATATATTTTTATACGTGACTTATCGATATCATCGAGAGTGCTCGGTCGGTGCGGTCCTCCGCTTACACCGGCGGCCGTCGCGGCGGAGGGTGGCTTCCATATCTACCCCATCGCGCGACGCCCCTACCTCTTCACGTTGTCGCTCGGCCCCGGGCGCCCTCGTCGCGTCGCTCCTCACCGGCGGTTCCACGCGTCCCCGCTGAGCAGCAGCCGCCAGACAAAACGCATTTCGTAGAATTTTCCTTTTGAGTTTTCTATCGATGGAAAGAGGACAACGCGTCTCAAGCGCATGCGCAGTCGATATACAAGCCCCCTCTCCCCCCCCCGCCTTTATCCCTCGATCTACGACCAGCCCCTTCGGATCTGGGGAGGTCGTCACCGCCGCCCTCTGCCCGCCTTCTCGAGGGCCGCTCCTACCTCCCCCTCCCCCGCAGTGCTACTCTTGTCCTTCTCACCATCCAGTGCAACTCCTTCAAACTCACATGCAAGATGTCTTTTGCTGTTGTCTAGATCACGCATGAAGTTCGAATATGAAGCGTTGAGAAGGAGAAAAATCGAAGCGTCAAAAACGAAAATTGGCGAGGAAGCAAAAACGCGTTTACATAAAACGGTATGACTTCCGCTCGTTTGAGAAAAACAGAGTCACTGCAGTACCACCTACTTTCCTAATCATCATCACACTTCATGGAGAGCTTCTACGAGCGGTTTCTCACTGAATTACGCCAAACAGCTTTTTTCTTCAAAAATGTGGCCTATCTCTGTATCATTCTCAGTGCTTCATTTACTGTGTGACCTATATTAACGTTTATTTCTTGCTTTTCAAAGCATGAAAAATAAGTCGCGAATTTTTATAAGGACTGATTGTGAGTTCAAAGAAAGTGCATTAAATTTGGCCATTACAAATAACGCTGAAAAACATCTCCTTCATTGAATTGTGTGCTTCAAAATGTATTCGGCACACACTTTTCTTCCCGGTATCTCGATCTTGGATACGTCGAAATATTCTGCGACTCGAATATTCTTCCTTTCCCTTTGAGATTCGAGTTACCGAGTTTCCTCTGTGTCTCTTCTCCGCGTCCGTCCGCCTTAGGCACTCCCCTCACCCTTCACCCTCCCTCCGCGACGCACCAAGACAATCTCCCGGCTCGACCTCTCCGCCCTCAATCTCGCGTCGCACCCTCCCCCCTCCGCCACCCTCCCCCCCCTCCTTCCCCATCCCCGCTCCAGTCGCATTTCAATTCGCCGGCGAGCGCGGTGCGTGTCCTTCCGCCGCTCTATGACAGTCGCGCCCTTGCCCTCGGGGAGAAGGGTCGCTGTGTGCGGGCGAGAGACGAGGGTCGCCGCGAATATGAGGATGGGTGTGGGCGCTGACCGGCGGTCGCGTCATCTGAGAACGTCTGTCCCCGCCGCTTTCGTCTGTTGGGTGTGTGTAGTGTTTCGTCTGCGATCACACAGCACTGGTGACGGCCAAAAGCGGGAAATAAGACGCCCAACTCTGGGTAGTTTTTGTTCCAAGGAGACATTGAATCAACCCAAATATTAAAACTTATTTTTCAATGTGGTTCTGTTATAGATATTATTAACCTGTTCCAAATTAAATCACTCTCTTTGAGGTCTGCACGATAGTTTTTATGTTTGTTTACTCGCAAGAAAATTATTTTCTGCGGTGTCATCAAGCTAAAGTTGTTCGCTGATGGTAAAAACCTCGTCGTTTTTCTTACCCCCATTCCATATGTATCCAGTTTTCTTCCGTTAGAGCACCGTTTTTTGTAGTTATTTTAATACTCTTCATTATTCCAAAGGTGAAATCTTTGCACACTTCTAATTCCATTCTTTTCACAAAAATGGTAGATCAAAAGAATTTCCCTGTTTTAAGTTTTAAATATTACCAGTACATTATACAATTTGGCATTGATTTCAGAAGCTTTCGGCATGTATTTTGTTAGATACTCCCCACAACGTCACATAGTCTTGAACTGTTTTTGTCGTTAAATGTATAAGAAAAGAGACCTGACTGAATGTGGATGAAGACGAATTCTTTCATAGAACTGTCTTCTTGTGTATTTCTGTTTCAAAATCCCACTTTTTTCTTTTTAATTCTATTTAATGGGACGTTTTCTGGTCCATTGTGTACACGCTGAGATTTTTTTTTTTTGCTTTGCTTCTGGGTAATAACGTTTAGCTTTACTCCAGACACACCCATATGCCACATACAATTGTTTACTGTTTTGTGTGAAATATATCTTTTAGAGAAAAGATATTTTAATTTTATTTATTTAAAAAATTAGAGATGTTTGTTTTCGATAAATTATTTTACTTGTTTGAAAACTTTATTGTAAGATGAAATTCTATGCATTTTCAATTCTAACAACTAGTGATTGTTTCTCATAATAATAGTTGCATGATAATCAATAATCCATGGCATAACACATTAAATGTATAAATAAAATTAAAATTAAATGCTATAACTTAGAATAGTCTTTGTTAGCGACTCGCCTTTCCAAAATCACTCTGCATTCCATTAGATCCATTTCAAGGAATTTTGTGAGATCATTCAACCATTCATACATTATTTTCATTAAACACGTATTCCTTATTTTCTTTGATGTGTGGTAAAAAGATCTTGCGGCACAATTCGTCACCATTTAGAAACTGGCCATGGAGAAACTAATAGCCCACCAGTACCTAGCTCATTCGTACTTTGAACGTACTCACACATTGCATGTCACTGTTTAACAAGTGATTGATTAGTTTTCTGAACCGCAAATAGCTTGGCTTAGATATTCATAAGATTCTTGAAGTAAAAATGTAAATAATTTTTAACACACTATATTTAATTTAAAAAAATTAAAGAATGTGACGAAACAATAAATTGAATGAATTTATGATTCTTCAACCTTCATCATTTGTGTATTCTGTTAGCAGCGAACACTATTTTTTGTTTAAAACATATTGATATTGTAAAGTATGTTTACGCTTTATTTGTTATATGCAAACACAACAAACGTTACAAAAATAACGCGATAATGTTTAATTGATTTAAGATAAATTATTCTTTTAATACTACAAGTATCCCGTTTGCCCCTCCGTTATCTTCTTAACCTTTTCACATTCGAAAATCCAGAACGTGCTTCTGACCGCTGAATGCGCGGTTCAGAGGGACATAATTTCTTCACTCGAAATTAAGCCGCGCAACGGAGCAATCGGCGCAAAGCAGTACGGGAACGTCCTCTGCGCCTCTCGCGTCGCGCCAGCGGCTGCGGGGGAGAGCGAAGGCGGAAGGGAACTGGCTGCTGCCGCCTGCAAAGCCACTGCGCCCCTGCAACGTCGGGCGAACGCAAGGAGAGCGTGCACTTGGCCAACTCTTAGAATGGGGAGAAGTTATTCCTTCGGCGAACAAGCGAATATCGTCTGGAGCCGTTCTGTCTAGGAAGGAGGTTTTGGAGTTGGACAACAATTTAAGACTATTCTTCCTCCGGTTAATGCATACGGAATTTTCGGACAATGCAATTATAAATATTTGTTGAAATATTGTACTAACAATTAAGTGTTAATACATCTTGATCAATTGATGTGATCTAAAAATTTAATTAGCTCGATGAAGAGAACAGCTTGCTTACCATAATAATGGAAAAATGCAGTGAGTTTGTTTATGGGATGCCATGAACCACCAAAAGAAGAGGTTCGTACCTACAGCTTTTCTACATTTCATTTTCGTATTCCCTCGCTCTTTTATCCATTGCATGGATTTATTGAGCTTCAATTCGAAGATGAAATAACCTCAGCACGCCAAAACAAATATCGTCGATGCTGCTTTCATAACTGTGTCTGATATTTAGACTTCTTCTCCTCATTTGATTTGATTTTGCTTACCCTTTAGAATAAATATTTATTCGTCGAGTTCAAGAGCGTATTATTTTTACTTCCGAAAATTCTGAAAAAATGAATTCATTAATTAAAACATTAATTTCAAACTATATACATAATTATTTAAATAACAAATTCAAATTATTATTTGTATATAAAAAATAGAAACATTATTGTACGCTTGTTGGAGGTTCCTAAAAGGGGTAACCTCCCAAATGTTCATGTTAATTTTACAATGAAAAAAATGAAATTTTCATATTATTTTCTCTGCATGGAAAACAATTACGTTTGTATGAAAACACTTCAAAAACTCAATAAGTCGAACAATGATTATTTTTTTAATTCATTAAAACATGAGAAGTCTTATTGTTATAATGTTCAATTTTCCACTCATTATAAGTGTTTTCTTCCAAAACAAAATACACATCTTCATTTGGATTTCTCTTGTTTAAGATTTTCTTAACTTCGATTCGTTCCTCGCCCGCGGCCGCCCCTCGCCGCCGAAAGGCCTTCGCTGAGCGCTGCTGATGTTTGGTCGCTTTGCAGCCGACGTTCCCGCACGCGGACTGCCCATCGCGCCCCAAGCGGCGGAATATTCAATTACGTCTGGAGCAAAGTGCGAAGCCTCAAAGCCCTTGTTGCGCGCAGCGAAGGCTCTTCGGAAAGGATTTCGGCCAGGGGTGCACAATGTTCATGCGAACCTTGGCCGTGACTTGCCAAGATGAAGATAGCCATTGACGCAGAGAAATGATTCTTAAATATTATATTGCATGTATAACCGCAGCGAGTTTCGATTGTTACGGCAACACTTCGGTAGAAGGCTCTATAGATTGGCAGATCGCGAGTTCGATCCCATGCAGGTGCCAAAAAAATTGGCGGCGTCTGCTGAAAGCGATATCGTATGGACATATCGCTGGTCATTTCCAGGCGGAGGGCGTTTATTTGGATTTAATTTAGAAAATCTTTCACAATGAGCATTGAGTACAGATATACAAATACAAATCAAAACTATATTCAATGAGGAACACACTTATTGGCGTTTCCATTTGATTGTTTCCGCTTGAAGTTCAGCACTAGTTTGGAAGAATTAAAACACCCCAGTTGCCATAATATGTCTGCTCTAAAATTTTACTTGGCAAATTGCTTACCATGATTATCACCGCTCCCAAATTGGCTGATAAAAGTTCCAGAGGGCAATGGATAAAATTAATGTTTAATCGCTTCACTTCACACTATCTCGACTATAGCCTTTAAAACAGTCACCAATTATTATTATCACTTAACCTATCTCTCACAGAGATTTCACTTCTGTTTTTATACCAATTACTCCACACTTTTGTCGATTTGAGTGATGATGTTTTCGAAATTATTGTTTTTCATTGAGAATAAATGAAGACTACTTCCTTTTATTTAACTTTATATACGTCAGAAGTTAGGAAAGCAAGGGAAGGTCAGTTTTGTACAAAGTAATGCTTTCTTTTGGGCCAACTGTCTCATTCACACACGGCATAAACAAACAACTGTCTTATCATCGCATCATTCATTTCCTTGGTTACATAAAAACGCAGAAGAGGTTATTCTGCACTGTGTAGAACGGAGGTTCTGTCACAAATACTTCGCAGTTTTTTTTTATTCTTCAGGTACTATGTGACTCTGCTTAAATAAATTAGCAATCACGGGGTGTGGATTTACTGTTCACGCGAAACCTGTAATACAGGGAATGGCTTTGATACAAGTGTACGTCTTAACCAATCTATGAAGTTAACAACGCTAGTCCTCCAACACTAGGTGGATTAGATTTGTTTCTCCTATATTAGACCAAAAATGCTATATGGATATATTTGCATTGTACGTGTTATATTTGTGGTATGTCAACTTTTCCATACACAAAACAAAATACTTTGGTTTTAAAATGTAATTGTTTCATTGTTGCAACCTATTAATATATGAGGTTCTTTGTTAAGTGTTACTGACATAATTTTTAAATGTACAGTAGACTATCGTTGGCTGGAACATGACCGAACATCCAGGCCTATGAAAGTCCTTACTACTCAGAAACAAAAAGCACTCAGTACGGAATATAATAATAATACTTTTAAACGAATATTACAGGAGAACTAAAAAATACAAATCATTACAATATACTTACTATATTTATCATTGTTTTATTAACATTTAAGCTCCATACAGAATTACTCTTGAACTCATCAAAACAAATCCTTTAAAGACATCTTGAGCTTGTAGGAAAGGAAATCGGTCGACGGCTCGTTCTAATCGGTTGAAATAATATAGAACGAGAAAAAGAAGAAAAACAAAGCATTGTTCTCGAGTTAATAACAATTTAATAAATAGAGTTTTGTCGAATAAACAATGTGGTTTTTCAAAGCGTTTGTGTTTTGGGTACCCTTGCCCTCAATGTATTCACAGGCAGGTCCGCAATTTCTCAAAAGTTCTTTGTCCCGCAAACCTTGCAGAAAAGTGTATGCTTTTACGTGTTTTCGCAACACTGGTGCTCCCCTGCCGCCGCCCACGAAGACAAACAGGCCTGCGCTTACAACTTGTTGACGTCATGAAAGGTCGATCGGCTTTTATTACGAACGCCCACATGTAGCTCGGGAAAGTAATTCCTCGCCACTGAAGTTTCGTTCCCGCAGTGCATTTAAAAGCTTGAGTTTAAATGTTAAAAGAAATGTTGGTATTTTTAAGGAACTGATGGATTACATTCGAAAGTTGAAGCGCTGTTCAAACTACACATAGAACGATATTTTCCTTTCGCTAAATTTCTTAATTTATAAAAATTTACCAGTACGTTGATCCTTGAGACCGCTGTGACTCATTTGTTAGAATGGATTTTATTGTTTCTCAACATGCTTATCGTGTCCTTCATCGCTTTTTCTCTCAACCATAAATTATGAATGTAATATTTTCTTCGTTTTTCACACTCACATTTCTTATCCGTAAGAAACTTTTTTTAGATATTCGTAAATTCATTTTTGTATTAGATATGTTTGAAAAAAGGTAAGTCCCGAAACAAAGTGAGAGACAATCTCAGAATTTGTGTACTAGTTTGATTCTCTTATACTAAATATAATAATTGTTCGTGGAACCAGCGTCGGTGGAACCACCTTGATATAAAGTGAAAACAAGTCCGCGAATATAAACGCAGAGATAAAGAAGTGTCAAAACAAATGTAAATCAAAAATACGGAAATATATTTAAACAATATGAAAATTCTTGTATAGAGAATTATGTTTAAATAATAAATTTTTATTAAACAATTAAATTACACAGAGTAGACAAAGAAATGTTAATAGAGTATTTTAAAATTTACAATAATTCTCTGGTATGGAATTCTACATTCACCACAGGACCTCCTTCATAGGATATTACTTAACATGAATTATTTTGATTATTAACAGTCCATATTTTGCCCTAGGAGGGAAGGAGGGAGAGGGGGAAAGAGAGAGAGAGAGAGGGAGAGAGAGAGGTGGCCAGCTGACGTGAGGCGTTCTTGTGTTGCAGTATCGGACTTCACCCAGCAACTGTCGCAGGTGTACGAGCAACATGCGGAGGAGCTGCAACTGCTCGTAGCCAACTTCCGCAAGAGGAACGCCGAGCTGCGCAAAGAAAGGTGAGCCTCGATTGTGCATTGCCTAAGACAAGGGGAGGACACACAATGGTTCTGACGCCCATGTCCTTTCAAATGGTTTATTAACATATGTATAACATTCTTCTTGTACAAAAGAATTAGTCTGTAATTATTTTCTCGCAACTTCTTACGCAGTATATAGAAAGAGTATTGCAATTCTGCGGGGGCAAAATCAATTTTTGCCTCAAAACTCGTTTGCCGAGCCCTGATAAAGATAAAGTGGATAAATATCGTCCCTTTATATATTACATTACTTCCTCTAACACGTTATGTGGTAAGAATACATGATTTTGTGGGTCCTTGATACCGAAAAATCGATTGATGGCAAAACGGCTGTTTGCCCACCTGTCTCTCTCTCAGTCCCGGTCTGTGAACAACCTAAACTATTGAGTCGATTTTCTTTAAAATTGATATTCCCCAATTGATTTGGCTGATGCCCCTAAATCTGGATGATGATAATTTTTTGTTACAATTTTCTCCACAAATATAATAAGGGACGGTAAAAAAATTTGGTGGTAGTCCCATTTTCATCTATTTCTCCGTTTTTTTAATTGCAAAATATTAACATTTCAAAATTACAAAATTGAAGATAAGAGATTTTTGCCTCAGGTAACGTCTGCTGTAAAAAGCAGCGATTTAATAAGGCAAGTACACTTTTTTTAGAAGAACGAGTAATTTTTGCGAAATTAGCGCTTCAATTTTATGCAATTTCTAAAAAAATTCTCGTAAACTATTTCAAATTTTTTCTTTAATTTTTTTGTCACTGGTAAAAGAATTGATGTTTAAAAGATGGCGTATGTCTTTTTCGTTGAATTCCACATATTTTTGGAAATTGCAAAAACTTGACATTTGGAACTACAAACTACATGAAAGACAGAAATTTTTGTCTTAAACAAAAATATGTTCTAAAACTCAGCACATTAAAAAATGTATACATTTGTTTAAAACACTTGTTTTCGCAAAATTTCTAACTGAAATTAATAAAATTTGTCGGGTGTCCCACCAACTACGAATTCGGAGAAAAATTCTCGGAGAACAGAAATGGATCAAAAGAATATGAAAAATTTTATATTTAATTTAATTTTAATTATAATTTACTACTGAAATTCTCAATATTAATTCGATTTTTACTCTATTCTGCAATTTGTATTCTCAATGTAGTGATGTATTTTCCTTCATGCAATACGGAAACATTAATTGAAATTAGTCCAATTAGGTTTTCTCTCTTAAATATACAAATTACATGTAACATGGAAAGAAAAATGAAACGTTGAGGCCTATAAATTTGCACGAAGTTCTATCACACGTTAATTCTATATTATCACCGTACTCTGAAATGGGCAATAACGCAGGGATGTGTATTTGAGAAGTCCATTGTTGAACGGCAACATGATTGGAAAAATAAGATAAGCCGGTTTTATTCACTTAACTTTAGTGTTACATCTTTCAATAAAATGTTATATTCAACTTTATTAATGTGGGGAGAATGTATATACAGATATGTATACGGTAATGGTATCGTCTATGGCCTTTAGTTCTCAATGCTTAATTTATATGTGAAATTATCCGTGATTACTAGTAAGATATATTAATATTTAATAATTAAGTAAAGTAAGAAATATTGCGAGAAGTTATGATTAATGCTAGAAAGTATGTGCTGTTGAAGCCCCACTAGTTTATTTTCAAATTTGGCCAACTCAATGTGTTGTAATGCAACACGTATTCAAAGTAGCTTGCAATCTTCTGTGATCACGCTCATTTTGGTTTGCAAATGTTCGTACTGTAAAATGCTAGTTTGTTTACTAATCCTGTTATATAAATGCACACACAAGCAGGATGTATAGTTTATTCGTGAGTTACAAAATAAAGTCGAAAATTCAAAATGCTTCTTGTTTTTTCTATATGATATATACAAGAGTGAGGAAATCACCAGAGAATTATTGTCATACAATTCTAAACTACTAAGTTTAATTGAATTAACCATTATACGATTATTTAAGTTCAATTTTTTGTGGTTACACGAATTAAACTACAGACCTTTTTTGTTTCCTTATTTCTTTCTATCTACTATATAAATATATATCTCCAATTTACAATAATTGTTTTATTTATCAGTTTCACTCATCCATTTCTTTGAACTTAAACAGTTGGAATATTTGAAGAGACATTTGATCGTCGATGAAACTGTTACTCAACCCCCGTTCTTCCGGAATCGTTTCTCAGATATCGACGACGGAAATCGAATATTCGATTTAATGTAGTTTTTCTGCTCTCTTCAGAAATACCTCAGGTCATGTTACTTCCCGGTTTCCCTTAATATTAGCCTTCAAGCGTTGAAAAATGCGACGGCAAAGTTATTTACACAAATGGATATGGAAAAATAGAATGCATTGAATGTGCAAATAATGTAGTGTCAACAAAAATTGCTGTTTCTTGTTTTCCTCACTCGTAATCTGTAAATTAAGGATAATATTTGTTCTTGTTTGTAATGTAATTTTCTATAAAACAATATCGGCTTCGCGGTGAATAAGACTTGTTATTAGAAGAATCTCTGATAATGACGAAAACTTTGCTTCCAAATTCCAAATATTATCTTTTCTCCTTTTACCAATTCCGAAATACGTAGAAAAGTATCTAATCTCACTTTATGTATCATTTAACAAGTTTAGATGGTATCGTACAAATATAAATATTTGGCTGATACAGTGGAATGCACCTTTTTTCACTAACCTTAAAAATTTCACATTTTTATTTGTTGAATGTGGGCAATGAAGTTGAAGGCAGCCATTGATAATAATTGTAACATTTTTCTATTGCTCTGCAAGAAATGCATTTTTACGGCTTAAGTCCGAAATATGGTTAATGTTGAGAGCAGCCAGTTAATTCACGCAAGAGTCATACAGAGGTATTTTGTCTCAACTCAGTATACAAAATTATACGTCATAAATGTTTATGTATATATATATATATATATATATGTGTGTGTGTGTGTAATGAATTGATAATTTTTAAAGCAAATGAGTTATTTTTATGCTCGTGATTGCGTATGACCAGTGTAGCTTAAAAGCGGCCTCCATTTTTTTTAAATGCTTTGAAAATTATGCGTTACACATACTTAAGGACATTTTATAAAAATCGCGAAGATCGGAGTCTCACCGTCAACTCTGAAGCAGCGAAGCATCAACTGAGTTATATAATGAGATTAGCCTCGGTTTGGTGATCTCGTTTAAATAAAAATGTGTGACTCGCAGTGAAAAACACTTTTTTTTTCACTAACTTCAGAAATGTCCCACAAGAAGTCTAATCCCTGTTTATCATACATCTGCTATTCCTCTTGCGTAATGGTGATCTCTTGCCCCAGACACCTCGTGGTGGCTAATGGCAACTTCATCCGATTAAAGTTCGAAGTAAACTTCGAAGGCGTTCGTACTTCGGACTTAGTCCGCCCATTTAGGATTATGAGATCATTCACCGGCTAATGTGGGATTTAGCTATTTTTAGGCTTCAACCGTAACAAAAAGTTAAAATGGATAATTCTATGTGAAACTGCTGAATACATTCTATAAATAAAAAGTTTAACCGGACTTAATTAGTGGTAATGATTACTTTCCCTTTCCTCAGAATTACATACTAAGTAAATTAACAACTGAATTCATGTCATATGAGATTGACAATAATTTCACTTGATGACTTAAATGATACTTAATTTAGTTTTAAACTCAATTTCAAGTAAAACTTAAATCTTGAGGAGTTCTTAGAAATCATTTTCTAGAAATATACTTACTATTAGCTCTCGTTTCGTGTTAATCTGAGATTATTTAAACATTTCGAATCCTATTATTCACCCCCAAATGGTCTTATGGTAGGATGTTATTTGTGTAAAGACGTAAAGAACTTCGATTCAGTCACGTAGCATCAGGCAATAAATTAACTTACTAAAACCATGATTAACTGTCTTCAACCGCTAAGTTTTAAATCTTTTAATATATTGTTTGTTTTTAGAAAATATTATTACTGCTAAATGTGCTTTGTAATGTTTCGGCAAAAGTATTAAACCAAGCCAAGGAAGCATTATCCCTAATCTTTTACAACTAGTACTAAATGCTTGTTATAATTCCATTTAAAGAGGCGGTTATAAGTTAGTGTAATGCTAATGCGAGTTTAAAAATATTAATGATTGAAGCATAAGAAAGTACTTGATGGAAATGAATGTTTCAGTGGTCATAATGAGAAATCTTACCCGTCATAAAATTGATTGGGCTTGCTTTTCTTTACGTATTACATCAAAATTGACGAATTCATTTTACCGGGCGCTGTCATTTCGCGGTGCGAGGTTTCCTCTCAGTTTATGGCAGTTTTAGTGCACCCCTTTTCGCCTCCACAAAGTGTCTTATGTGGAGTCAACAAAATACTTGAGACCGGTTGCAGCTGTTGTCTCAACGTGCTTGCTTATACGAAGCGTCGTTCATAAAATTTCGGTGCTAAAACTTTGTTCTTATAATTACTGGTTATAACAAGACGGAGCTAGTTGAAAACGTTAAATACACAATGACGACGCGAAACGTAATAAAAGTTGTATGGCACCCAGTAGAGGCAGTAAAAAGTTCAGCTTGCGGCCGCTTAGAGATGCATCAGCGCAAGCAAGGAGTATAATGTCAAGCCGTCTTGTTCCATGGGTGGCAGGCCTCGTCCACTGCGAAAGAAGGGCACGAACTGTGAGGAGGAAAAGTCACGATATATTTCGACTCATTGCGTAAAGAAAATTTAGTTTTAATTATATATTCAAACCTTGTTTCAGGGCTTAATGTTCAAATAGGATTGATGATTCATCGTTACTTAATTAGTTTCAAATTACAATTTTTTTATAATAATGGATGTAAGTGCAGTGTCAAAACTGCGCGACCTACAATTTTTTACAATGAAAATTTTGCTTTTAATTTGATAATTTCAAAACGATTTTTAATGTTTCAATTCATTATACCTCCTTTTTTCAAGTCGATGGTTGGTCATGAAATAAAAATGTTGATTAAATATTATTAGATTTGCAGAAAGTTATGATAGTCTTTATTATGACCCTCAGTCCCTACGCATTTTAGAACATACCCGAGACATTTGATGGACGTGTGCTAATTGGTCAGAGGTGATGGTTTATATGTCTGATTAATAATGCTGCAGTGGTGAAATGAGAGGCAAAGAGATCGGGAGAATCTGGGCAAACCTTTCATAACCAGCTTTATCGATAATAGATTGCATACGAATCGCCCGGGATTTGATCGAATCCTTCTACCTAGAAGCAGAATATGAGAGCTTTGACCACTAGAATACCTACACCCTGTAGAGTATTAGAAATCACTTGTGAGGCTTTTCTTCTGTTTGTACGTAATGCAGAAATACGATTTTCTTATTTCGAGATGTAAATTTACAATGTGTAAAAGAACTTTCCAACTAATGCTTAGTCAACTGTATTAAATGTAATAGTGTTGTTCGCAAATTTCAAGTTTTACTTTTAATCAAACCGTCAGGCTGAATGACTTGATGCCCCTTCTAAATAAAGACTAATTTCAATTCAATGTACTCCCATTATCTTTCTTGAAATGAAATGATCATATAACGCCACACAGTGGCTGAATTACACATAGTTTTACAGGTAGTATATAAAATCCCCCTGCGTGGGGCTCGAACCCTAGGACCTGTTGATTGCAAATACTGAAACAAATTGCATGCAAGTCCCGAAGAATAATTATAAACTACCGGTACTATAACAGCACATACGACAGACGGATGGGCGGAAGGGCAGACGGGCGGACGGGCGGACGGGCAGACGGGCGGACGGACGGACGGACGGATGGACGGATGGACGGATGGACGAACGAACGGATGGACGTACGTTCGAACGGATGGACGGGCGGACTGTCGGACAAACGGACGGACGAAAGGGCGGACGGACGGGCGGAGGGGCGGACGTTTTGCCGTCAAAAGATTTTTCGATGTGAAGGACTCACAAAACATGAATTCTGATTACACAAGGTGTTAGAAGAAGTATTTTACTATTTATAGAGCACGTTTTATCCACTTTCACGTTACTAGACCCCCGCAATAAGAGTTTTTTCTGCAAAGAAATTGATGTTTTCTAGTACACGATTAGAGTAATTATCATTTCTTTGTTATGAAGAAAAGGCGAAAAAGTAATGAGTGGGATATCAGCAAAAGTGTATTTTCTGCCCACAGCACTTAAGAAGTATTTCTGTACTGCCATTGATATGAAGATATAATTAATGTAGATAGAGGTATATGAAAGCGCAATTATATTTTAGTCTCTTGTACAACGATCGATACCCGCTGTAACTGAGGGCGCTTGTGCGCGTTGCAGGCCGGCGTGCCCGAGCGCGCTGTTCCACACGTGGGAGACGCTGCTGCAGGAGGTGGAGGTGGACTCGCAGGCGCACTCGGACATCGCGTCGGTGCTCGGGCGGCAGGTGTCGCGCCCGCTGCTCGAGCGCTCCTTCCACCGCAAGATCCAGTCGCGCAAGGTGTTCACGCACCGCGAGAGCTACGAGACCATCCTCACCAAGACCGAGGACAAGCTCGTCAAGGTGAGACAAGCTGCCTTCTATCTCGTTCTATCGACGCTTTTGGGGGACTGCGTACCTGGACATTTTACCGTAACGAACTATAAAAAATGAGGTTGCGGTTTTATAGTGCTACAGAAGACGTGACGCTCAACGTTCGTGACATTTGCATTTATCCATCACCGATTCATGTTACTGCAGAAATATCTATTAAAAATACTTATGTAATAAGATGGAGGCAAAGCTTCAACATGGTTTTGCGTCAAAGACAATATCTCAGATGACGTTTATTTTACTTACTACTTACTTACTCAGATGACTTATAAATATTATATATATACTAAGATTATTTATATCTTTAAATGCGCAAAATGAAGAGGCCAGAAGGTATTTGTTTCCTGATAAATCATTGTATAATACTTATAACCAACGCTGATAGACAGCGCGTTTCCAAATAGAAACATTTGTTATTTGGTTAAAATTTAAAGTATTAATTTATACCTTAGTCCACCTGACACTTTAAATGGTGCAGATTTTTGGAGATTGATGTTAGAAAGGCGAAAGAAAATTTGACATCGAATAAATTGAACATTGTTTACACTTAGTATTAAACATGTATTTAAGTGGAACATGGATTTTCGTGATTAATTCGTTCGAAAGTCACACGGCAACTGAATGAACAAAAACTGAAGCTACTTTAAGAAATAATTTAAACCTATCTTATCAGTTCCAGACTCCCAAAAATTAACAAAACGCATTTTATAGAGAATAACAATTTTTACGCACAAAACACTTTGAGGTCAATATAAATGAATAATGAAATGGATAAATAAGAATTTAGTTTCAACGCTATTTTTATTCAAAACTCTCGTAGGCGTATAAAAGACAGCGGAGAGGGTCGAGGGAGGAAAGTGAGTTGGAAACCCGGTGGGGTACAGACAGACTGGGAAAAACTCACTTGAGTCACGAAGACATGGGATGCGCTCGATTCCGAGAACTGAGCGATCTAGTCACACGGCCAGACTTCATTGATAGGGACCAGTCACGAGCGCAACTGAGCGGAAAAAACGGATGAATAACGGAACGCTAACTGAACAGATGTACGATATGTGAGTGACTATGCGTGTGTGTGTTTGCAATCCACACGATGAGTTATGTTTGGAATTGTCTACTATGAGATTGAGGCCATAAATATATTTCTTAGAATCTCATAAATGTGTGGTTTGTTCTAAGACAAGGATGGGTGTCTGGTTGAAGTAATTTAACTTGCTTTGTGTCTTGTCTCTGACACTATAAAGGAAAATTTAATTAACTCATGAATAGAGCAAGAAAATGTTAAATTGCAAAATTATAGAAATTGGTGACTCTTACAGATTATCTTGAAGTTCATTGGGGCACAAAGGAAATAAATACCCCGAAAACACATCTCCTCCGAAGATAAACGTTTTCTTCGTCCTCAGTGGCCTCTCTCGAGAAGAAACAAACAGAATTCGATTGTTCCTCGAACGGAAGCGCAGATTGCTTTACGGGCTCTGAACACTTAAGAGGTTTACGGTCGGCGTGTTTACGGCGATGTTTGATCACAAATGTACGGATGTTTTCTTAACATTGAGGGAAACAATGGAAACCTCTAGAAATCACTTTGTCGGTTTTTAGTGCGAAAGTACTCCTCGAAGTCTATGTACGCGTAAAAACATAACGGCGCAAATGTGTTGTAAAATTTCCTGTACCACAACGTTTCCGGTTCAGTAATTAATGAATTTTTCAGTTACGCTCTAATTCTAAGTGTGCGTTGTTGACATAACATCAAATATAATATGACTATTAATGAAAGACCTGTAGAGATGAATTAAATGAACGTCCATTATTTCTGAGCGAATTGAAACTTCCCATTTCTAAATCTATTTACATTGTGTAAGAATACTCCCAAGTTTCGTACAAATAAGGATTGCCTCAATTTTTTTAGATATAACGTTCGGATAATTAAACACTTAATATTCTAATAAGTGTGTACAAACGTTATTTCATTATTTATTAAATTAACAAGAAATGTGTCAGGAAGGATTGAGCTGTTTCGGGATTTTGGCTGAACAGAAATCATTCAACGTCCAACGGCTCCTGCTGCTATTCATATGCCCGTCGCATGGAACCTAAACCTGCTGCAAGTCACAATGCTTGACCGCTAACGCCGGCCGTAGAAAGCAAGGAGGTCGGGGGCCAACGCAGGGCAGCCCTCCGTTGATAGCCCCAACGAGCCCGCTTTACACCGCGCCCCGACCTCTGCTTTGTCGCGTGGCTGTTCCACCTCTCTGGGGCTGCGTGCGTCGGCACGTAGAACATTGCGTTCCCCTGCTGGCAACGTGACTCGTAGGGCGCATCACCACTTGTGGTGCACGGCGCGACACGGCACGGTACGGCACGGCGCGAGGGTGCTGTGACTTCATAGCGCAATCCGGTGGAGATGCGCGACATGTGCATACCGTCTTCCACATAGGGCACATGTCTCCATGTGTGGTTTATTGAATGATTTGGCTTGCTTTAAATACAGGATAAAATTACATGAAGATTCGTAATATACACATTTGCTTCATGAAACCACTTCCTTTTTACTTTTTTGTATACTATTTACGAATTATATAGAAAATATTGTAATTGTGATGCAAAAAAATGACGATACTTTGACAAAAAAAAACTTGTTTAATGGATCACTGAAACCAAAAAATTGGATCATTCTTGCTCCTACACGTAATACAATACTTACTTTCTTACGTTGTATTCTTATAATCTGCGTTTTTTGCTCCTTGACACCGAAAAAATTATTTGCGGAAAAATGCCCCACCGTCTGTGTTCTGTTGTTCATATATTTGTTATTTAAATTCGCATTCGTCGTTAAATGTGGCCGAACTCAAGACCCTTCGAACTCGAAACGAATATTTTGATTTTTTGAGAAAATCGTCTAAACAGTTGGACACTAGCGTTTATCACAGACTGGCCGTCAATCAATTATTTGGTTTCAAGGATCCGCAAAGTGAATTTCAACTTCACCACGTGTTCGAAAAGGTAAGGTCCTACTTATAGGAACAAAATTTATTTCCGTTACCACAGCTTACGAGATTTTCTGCCGCAGACTTTTTGATAGCAGACTGACTTACGTGGCATAGAGTATCAATTATTGATGTCTCTGCAGTACTCTGAACCAGAAGGTCCCGATGGTTGTTGACAGGATTTTCGACATTACAGCTAGATAGTTAGGTCGAATTCAGCGGTTGTTTGGAGGATATTTCTATAGGCCAACTGCTCTGATCAGTAGTTTCCGTGGATTCTCCGATCAACAGGCCACGGACGGCGCGCGATATTCCCATCCTCGTCCTTCCCATCATCGTCTCGTAGCTACACACACATTTACAAGCACTACACTTCCGTACGCCACGGAAGTCCGGTCGGGTGCTTAGAACGTGTCCCAGCTGGAGCGGTGCCCCGCTGGCGGTCGAGAAAAATCTCCGCATGATGACGTAGGTTGGCGCCGGATCTCGTCAGCCAGCGAGAAAAGATCACCGCCACCTCCCGCGATAAAACATGCACTACACTTATGCACTCGTGCACTCCACAAATGGCAGCCGTTAACGCTCCCGTTTCACCAATCAATCAAGCAATTTTGACCACACGATTACACTACTTTCTCTGTACTACTCACATAGTAAGACAGAAAGTAAAATGTTTCTGTTCCATAACGAATCACGTAAATAGCAAATATTTCAGGGCAGGTAGTCACTTCCTTGGAACCTTGGTGTCCTGTCAGCATAGTTGTGCCATAAGATGTGACATCATGGGTATGAGAATGCAGTTGGTGCGTGCTGTAGGAGATTAGGTGGAATAACTGAACTATCTTCACGTTTTCAGTCAAAATGGAACCTGTTTCATTGTTTTAGTATTTTCCAAATTTTAAAGGAATGTAGTAAAGTCATAGACATTTCGCACATGGCTGTAAGCAGCATAGCTTTCTTTGAATTTTTGGCCGCATTGGAAATAAGTAATATATAGATAAGAAAAAACATTACACCCATAGTAATAATAATAATAATAATAATAATAATAATAATAATAATAATAATAATAATAATAATAATAGCATTGTTTCCTTGATAAGAATTTCGATATATTTTTGAGAGTATTATTTGGTATCATCTGGAAAATAATTGCAGATGTGTGGAAAATAAGATATCATAGAAAAATTACCGTAGGTATAAATGTTGAATTTTCAGATTTTTTTCCGACAGAGAGCAGATTTCTACCGTCGAAAAAAATAAGAAAATAAAAAACGTATTTACAATTGTACTTAATGATACGTATTGTATACGTATTGTACTTAATGAGTAAGATTAAATGACTACAAATAGTGTAAAGTACCAAATCGAAGTTCCTGAAACATGTATAATTATCCATGTTTCCTGCAGGTACTTTGTTCCAGATTCATGTTACTGTAGGTATAAGCACTAAAAAACTACAAACGACAAAATCACGTTTAAAGTTTCTACGTCATAAATGCGTTGTCATTTGTTAGGACTCGTATGAACGGCAATTGATCTTCACTTCTTTAAATGAGCGCAAAACGGGATTTGGCTTCTGCGTCGTTCGAAGGACTGTTTCGTTGCTTCGTCCTGCTGCAGAATGTTTTTCATTTAATTCAAAGGAGAAATAGGATCATTAAAAATCCTTCTCTCGTTATTTGTCTCGTCTAATTTAAGACCCGTTGGCAGTGTCAAAGAATAATAAATGCTTAATTTATTATTGCTTTCTTTTAGAAAAATGTAATGTTAAGCGTATGTAGCAATTGAATTAAGCATTACACTAGTCGGTGTATTTCGATAACTTTGTTTTACAATGAAACGAATTTTTTTCTTTAATTCTTAAAGAATATAATTTTTTTGTAACAGGGCGATATTGAAAATGATTTAAAGAATGTATTTAAATATATTTAAACGTATTTAAACTTCAAAATTTGATACAAAGTTTTACAGCGTTAC